AGAAGATTAATGTTCTTTGTAACCTTTCTGGTCAGCTAGTACAAATATTGTTAAACACTGAAGAGGAATTAATTTCAAGTTGTTGCATTTAACCTTTAGATGTTTTCTGAATTACTATGGTAACCAGGAGCTCAATTTCCTAATTAAACTGTATGAATCCAGCCTTCAAGGGCTTCATTTAAAAGATTTTTAAAACAAAATTATTTTTTTTTGAACTAGACCTGGTTCCTCGTAATGCAGTTTTGTGCGTTAATGAGACATAACATGTTACAAATTATTTTAAGTTGTGTTAAGGGAGAGAGGAAGAAAAAAAAAAAGAACACATAATATCTGTCTTTGGAGAGCATCTTCCAAATTTTTGGAATATCCTTAGCTGTGTATTGGGCTGTGTGTGCAGGCATGTAGCCAGCAGCTGCAGAAAGGTGATTCTTCCCCTCAGTTTGGCACTTGAAACCGCATCTGGGGTCCTGTCCTTAGGGAGCCGCAATACAAGAGCATCCTGGCCTGTATCAGGAATAGTGCTGTCAGCAGGAGCAGGGAGGTGATCATTCACCTTGAGTACTGCGTCCAGTTTTGGGCCGCTCACTACAAGAGGGACATTGAAGTGCTGGACAGGGTACAGAGGCGGGCTAACAAACTGGTAAAGGATTTGGAACATGTGTTGTATGAGTAACAGCTGAGGAATCTGGGGCTGTTTAGCCTAGAGAAGAGGAGACTGAGGAGAGACCTTATTGCTCTCTACAACTACTTGACAGGAGGTTGTAGCAAGGCGGGGGTTGGTCTGTTCTCCCTAGAGAGTCATAGGACAAGGGGAAATGGCCTTAAGTTGTGCCAGGAGAGATTCAGGTTGGACATTAGGAAGAATTTCTTTTCTGAAAGGGCTGTCAGCCATTGGAACAGGCTGCCCAGGGAGGTGGTTGAGTCACCATCCCTGGAGGTGTTTAAGAGATGGGTAGATATTGCATTGAGGGACATGGTTTAGTGGTGTCGATAGGGCTGGGAAAAGGTTGGACTTGATGATATTTTGAAGGTCTCTGCCAGCTGAAACTGTCTGTGATTCTAAGAGAGACACTGATGTACTGGAGTGAGTCCAACAGTTGACCACTGAGATGACTGGGGGCTGAGTTATGTGATGCACAAGGAGAGACTGCATTTCTTCAGACTTAACAGGAGGAGGCAAAGCGAAGATCTTGCTGTTTCTAGCAGCAATGTAATGGGAGAGTGTTGGGGAAAATGGAGACACAGTAGGACTACAAGGGGCAACAGACACAAATTGGAACATGAATTATTTCAGTAACATGTAAAAGAAACATTTTATACTCTGAGGGTAGTCAAACACCAGAATGCACAAGTCAAACTGACTAGAAAAGTTGATTAAAATAGGATTTTCTATATATGTTTGCCCCTCTCCTAAAACAATTTTTCATTATTTGAATGAGTTCTGATTAGTAGGCCATGGTGCCTTCTACAGTTTTTTTACAGTTGCTATCGAGTACTCTTGAGCACCTTCCGGAAAAGGTCTGTAGACAGCTGTTTGTTAGTGTGAACAGAAATGAGTTGATGCTTGATAGAGCAAACCATGTTTTGAAAATGTCTGGCGAGAGCCTGTTAAAGATACCAAGCTATGTTCATCAGATAAAGTATGATAAAATTGTATGGTATAATTAATGAAATAGTATAGTGTCGTAAAATAGATTATATATTTTATTATTCCAGTTGGAAAAAGCCCAAATAGGGACTGTATTTCCCAAAGTAGCGTGTCTTAAATGTCTGTCAGTTGATCCAATAGAAGTAATTCTTTTTGTGTAAAGATTTTGCCTTGCTTCTTTCTGTAGTGGCTAGAGTAATACTTAGGAAATCTTAAAAAGCATTTTTTTTTTTCTCTTGAGCTAACAGTTTCAGAGTTCCTGTCATTATAGGGACCACTGAAATATAGGAACCTATTATAAAATGGTGTCTTTGTCCTTTAATTTCAAGGGAGGTTATCTAAAATAGCTGGTATAGCTGGAGAGAATAAAAAAAAAGATTTTGTGACATCTCTAGTAGCAAGTTTGGGTCTACGGTCCTGATTGCCTGCAATTCTGGGGTGAGATCCTCTTCATCTGGTGGTGGTAGCTTTTGTTTTGTTTTGTTTTTTTAATTGGATGGTTGGGTTGGTTTTTTAGTTTTTTGGGATTTTTTTGCAGTCTTTCTCTTAAGGGGAGCAATGTTGAGATGATCTCTGCCCTGCCTTTCCTGTGTGGAGCAGTGCCTAGGAACCTAACTGTTATTCAGAATTGGAGTTTTCTGTGGATACTGGGTAGTCAGTCAGATTTTCTTTGTGGATTCCTTCATTTCAAAGTGACAGATTTCTTCACTAAAGCTTGTTTTCATTTCATTACAAAACTAGCAATGTTACAAGCTTGCTTTTACGGGAGACTTATGTTATTGAGTTTTTCTCTCGTAATAGATAACATAACCGTTTTTAACTGAATGTATTCTTTGCAGTTTTATATAGAAATGACATGGATGTTTTGGGCTTTTTTATAGATACTCTCACTGAAAGCTGTGAAGACAGGTCAGGATGAAGTTATGTTGATACTTGTTTGAATTGGCTAACTTGGAAATGATAATTTCTTTTTGTCTTTGAAAATATTATTTTGTTTACTGTGATACTTTTGACACACACAGTGTAAACAGTATCTCCTGTTATTTCTCTGGGATGCATTTCTGGATCTTAATATATTTTATGTTTCAGCTGGTGAGAAGCAACGTGTTGTCTGTGTATGTTATTTGAGTTTAATGCGTAGGCCACCATGATAGCATCAGCAAATGTTATAAGATCAGAAGAACAGAGCGTTCAGTGGTACTCTGCTGATCAAGTACATGTTTCATTTTTTAAATTTTTTTTACCTCTTTGGTTACTGTTTTTTTTTAGAAAGAACCATAAATATTGTGTGTGAGAAATGAAAACTGTGCAGCAGTTGTAAAGAGTATTTTTCGATGGATAAAAGAGTGACTGAGACTGTATTAGACTGAAAAGGTGGTCAATAGAGAAAAGGGCCAAAGGTACAAACTTCAGATGAGAGAATATTTTAAGAGTTGATAATTTGGGATTTTTGGTAGGATACAGAACAAACAAAATTTCCTCTTTTCAAATTACTATGTTTGATCACATGCTGATCCCTTAATGTGACTTTTCTTCAATTTTAAAATTTGTTTTAGATTCCTTTATAAAAAGATAGAGTTGTATGGTTTGTCTACATGTATGGATCTATTGAATTGTTTGCTGTACTTATATGCATTTGTTCTTGTCTATTTTTTTACCTAATGTTTCCACATCTCTTTAAGGGACAGAG